CCCAACAGTCTTGTTTTGCTTCGTGATCGTAATATACCATTTGAATGTTGTGCCCCGTTCATTCTCATTTCAATCAAATCATTTAATTGACTTTACAATATTGTGATTTTCCTTACCAATTAACTTTACCATAAATATTCTAATGCTGGGCACTTTTGTTGGGTAGGGTGTGCTACAGTAAGTAACACAGAGATATGTTTATAAAGTATATATATATATATATATATATATAAACAAGACTAAATGGAAAACAACGTTCAAACCTATGATTGCGTTGGATAGAACCGCAATTTGTATACGTGTGCATGCAAAACAAATTTTTTGGTAGAGGGGTCTAAATACAGCACAAACAATATTTTCCAAAAACCTAAATAGTGAAAAAGTATATTCTAACAAAACGCATTTGACTAGCAGGTCGAACAACGGATGTTCTTAAACCCTGCTGACTGCCATTGGCGATTGCCAAATAAACGGATCACCAGATGTAACAAAATGAATCTTAACTATTAATTTTATACCAAACAGAAAACAATAAACTTGCGGAAAAGATGGTATACCGCAAACAAAAGGTGCAAAAATTAGTACACCATATCCGGATTTCGACAATTAATGTCTCTTCAGTGATGTTAGGAATCGAAACGGTATTTGGGAGGCCATATAATTTACCTTAATTTAGGATAGACTCTTGAATTATGAAGAGTCGAAATAGGATGAACGGATCATATAAACCCGAAGGCAAATATAATATAAATTGAAAACAACGTTCAACCTATGATTGCGTTGGATAAAAGCCGCAATTTGTATACGTGTGCATGCAATACAAATTTCTTGTTAGAGGGGTCTAAATACAGCACAAACAACATTTTCCAAAAGACCAAAAAAGTGAAAAAGTATATATAAACAAAACGCATTTGACTAACAGGTCGAACAACAAATGTTCTTCAACCCTGCTGACTGCTATTGGCGATTGCCAAATAAACGGATCACCGATGTAATAAATATATATATATATATATATATATATATATAAGTTGTCAGGTCCGTGTAACACTTATCAATTCAAAAATTTAAGTTTTCTAATTTTGATCAAAGTTTTAAAATATCAAAATTCCAAATTTTGAAAATTTTTTGTAATTTTGAAATTTTTACCAAATTATTAAAATTTTGAAATTCTAAATATCGTTTTTAAATTTGATAGCTTAGATATTTGATCAAACTTTAAAAGTACTAAACTTAACGTGCAGTTTTGATTATTTCGCTTTTTGAAAGTTTGATTTTTTCAATTTTTGATTCAGATATCAAAAATAGAAAACGGGCGAACACAGGGGTACCTGTAAAGTGCGAAACGGAATTATTGCGGAACGAAACAAAACAAAAGCGAAAACGAAACAAAACGAAATGAACAGTAACTGTTACTTAAAAGTTAATGTATAAAAATGAAAAGTTGGATAAGAAAATAAATATTTCTTAAAAGCGGAGAATTCATTTTAAAACAAGAAAAACGGCTCTGATTATGATCATTCTTAGTTAGGAATAAAGCACGAAATATATCAAATCATTTTTAATTGCAAAATAAATAATATAAAGAAGAAGTCAGTTTTTTTTAGACGAATTGAACATCACATGAGATAACAGTATCCTGATTTTTTTTAGGCTTTGCATCCATTATGAAAAATAATGTTAAACCTTTTTAAACCTGCATCAAAAAAGTTGATTTACGTTTAAAAAAACTCTAACATAAGCTTAGCGTTTCAGATAAATAATTCAGAACTATTTGGTTTCCCCAGCGCCCATCATTTAGGAGTAACAGTGAAAATTGACCAACTCGCAGAAGGCCAAATAGTATGGTAGGGTTGAGTATGTATATATTTTCTACTGAACTTTAAGCAATAAAATGACTCAATACACGTGGATTCTCTCAAATTTGATTTCATTTTTTTTTGTTTTGCTTTATGACTTCTTACTATCTGCAATCATGTCGGCAGCTGGAATCATTGACTGTACATTTTGAACGATCATCTCAGTAAACCTTTTATCAATTGTCTCGGTTGTTATAAATTGTTGGCCTTCAAATATTCGGCTTTTAAGCGTTCTTGATAAAGGTACATGTAGATCCAGAAAAGCGCTTCGGACGCATGCAATTGTTAACGTTTTGTTTTCATTTTTTATCGATTGCATGACGATCATATATTGCCTTGTATCATCGATTTCAGTTCTAAGTATAGGTACTATAGGAATACTGAATTCATGGTGCCTTAATTGTAGGGGGTTGTTGATATCTTTTTTACACTGCTACCCGCTATACACTGAATTCATGGTGCCTTAATTGTAGGGGGTTGTTGATATCTTTTTTACACTGCTACCCGCTATACACGCTGAATTTAAGAGTAAGATCAAATATTAGTAGCTTGGATTCAGGATACTGTTATAAGGTATCTAAATAAACTCATCATAGATACCAGGATGGAAATTTTGTTTTTGCACCAGACGCGCGTTTTGTCTATAGAAGACTCATCAGTGACGCTCGAATCAAATAAAGTTAAAAAGGCCAAATAAAGTAAACGTTAACATCCAACTCATCGTTCTAGTTTTGTAAAAGCTGAATACATCCATACCATATTAACGTATACCATCAACTTTTTTTTTAAGCTTCATATTTATGTAATAGTTACTGCTATACATTAAGCACCGATCTACCCATTTGTAGGTGTCGGCATTTTGAAATCGTGATTTGAAATAAATCTTTAAAAGTTCATATCAACGATAAATGGTAATCTATTTGGGAATTGGAAATATAAATATTGTCACTAAGGTGACACTAAATTTGACTTGGATACTTCCACAAGGGGCTTCAATAATGGTACATTTTTTAGGTGTGGATCAATGAATTTGAAAAGGTGGGGACCTAGTCAGGGAACGACCATTTAACTTCAAAGAGGGGGAGGTATGTTTTTTTCCTAAACAAATATTCTGATTCCCAATTTAACGAAAAAAAAATATTCTGTTCAAGCAGAGGACAAAAAAAGTATTCTGACTCAAGATTTTTCCCATACATTATAGTGTTAAATTTTGAACAAAATAATTTGATTGATAGCGTTGAAAAACCAAATAAAATTTGACTCCGACAAAAAACCATATCCTCCCTTGAAGTTAAATGGTTGCTCCCTTAGACAACGTTTGGACTGATGCTTGTAAAAAGTATATGCATTTATCATATATGTAGCTCTATTAATTGTCCTAAAACCGCCCTGTTTTTAAATAGCGAATAAAGGAAACGGGATTTTATTTGTTGTATTAAGGGATAGTTCCGTATTTGTTATTTGTGCATTTTTAAGTTTTCGCACGACAATCAACTTTGAGCGAAGTACAAGTACGCAGCGAAGTTTAGTCAGAATGAGGCGTGTAGAAAGAGTTCCAAGCTCTCTTCACGTTAAGAACCCCTGCAGTAACTCGTTGGTTTGTTGCAAGGCCACATTTCTGTCCCTATCCGATATACCCTCATTTTCCAGTGGCATTTAAATTTGCCGATATTCATCCTGAATGGACTCTTACAGGACCTACCCATTTTATTTATTGTTAATTTGTTATCGTCCTGAACATGCATGAAATATTTGCCACTGGCAACCAACAATCAATGATTTTGAAAATAGGCCGTTTATATACAAATTACAATGAAACTTAGGTTTCGACTCCCTCGGGCAAAGTAGCCCTTAGATGGATTTTGATATTTTTAACTTTCCTTTTGGCCATACACCTCTTCAATTGTTCCGGTTCTTATATTTACATGACTTTCAAATATTCAGTTTTCAGCGTTCTATAGGTAAATGTTTTACTTAAAATTCAGCGTTTTACATTGTCCTGTTTTTTCGAGAGCAACATTGGTGTATGGCCAAAGTCGACGTTAAAAATAGCAAAATCCATCGTGCACAGAGAGTGACATTCTCTCTACACGCCCCATTCTGACTGGACATATCTGCGTTCTTGTACTTTGCTCAAAGTTGATTGTTGTACGATAACTTAAAAATGCGCAAATAACAAATACGGAATTATCCCTTGATACAAAAAAATCCCGTTTCCTTTAAGTCGTTTTTTAAAAACAGAGGCGGTTTTAGGGGGGCAGGGGGCGGCCCACCCCTAACGGAGCTACATATATGATAAATGCATATCCTTTTTACAAGCATCGGTCCTAACGTTGTCTAACTAGTCCCCACATTTTCAAATTCATGGATCCGCACCTTAAATTTACCATTATTGAAGCCCCTCGTGGAGGTATACAAGTCAAATATAGTGTCACCTTAGTGACAATATTTAAATTTCCGATTCTCAAATAGATTACCATTTCGATTGGTTATTTCAACTTTTTAAAATTATTTCAAATTACGATTTCAAAATGCCGACACCTACAAATGAATAGATGGGCAACTATTCCCATAAATATGCAGGCTTAAAATAATGTTTAAGAAATAATTCATGGGGATTGAATATATCGTGATTTTATCACGGGTTGGACCTTTATGACAAATATTTTACCCTGAGCGATAGCGAGAGGTAAAATAGCGGCATAAAGGGACAACCGTGGTAAAATCATCATATATTCAAGTCCCCATGTATTATTTCGATTCTAACAGGACAAATACGGCAATTGTTTTGGAGCTCTAGATGAAGGCATTATTTGAATAAAAACCGCAATTTTTATACCTGTGCATGCAAAACAAATTTCTTGGTAGAGGGGTCTAAATACAACACTATATATATTACAGTACTATCGTATTATATAATCTGTACACACTGGTACTAACTGATAACAACAACGTACGCTTACATCACTGGTTTAATACATGTATTTCTGTGTCTAACGCTGATACTGAGCATTTTGATGTGTATCATGTATATATCGGTTTAAAAGATAGTGTCACTAAAAGAAGTTTGGTTTGGGATTCTGTATTTAATGAAAAATTTCTCTTTGCTTTTGTATCTACCATATTTATTTGCTATTTTAGATTTTTCGGACGGACATCCGCAGTACAGAATTTTTAATAAAGGGGAAACATATGTTACTGTTCAGATAATGTCTAATTACTTGCAATGGGAAGGTGAATACATATGTACAGTAAGAGAGAAGACTCCAAATCCTACAACATGGACAACAGAACCTGTATATATAAAGTATACAAGTATGTAAAATGAAATAATACTATTAGAGATAATTAAAATGTAAATGAAAAACGCATTGCTTGAATGGTGCAAATGATTATGATGCAAATTATGAACGTACATACATTTTACCGGACAAATTACATATAGCGCATGTATAGATGATGATAGGTAAATAAGTCCTTAATGTGCTCCTTTGTGGTTATACATTTTATCAGTACCGGGATAGTTTTTTAATTTTTCGAAAGTGGCATTAAAACAATCATTACACCTTAGGAACGACATTATACTTGTAATGTACATATGAAGAGACGTTATGATAAAGCTTACATGAACAGCAAGAGTTCCAAGGCATCTGCTTATATTGCTTGATAAAAATTTAACCCTATATCGATCGTGAAAATTAGCAAATAGTAAAAGATAAGCAGACGGCATACAATGAATAAAAATACCATAGAGAAGTATAAGATATCTTCAGACAAAAAACTATGTAGCAATGGTGCAATTATTTAAGATTTAAATATTTGCAATTTCGTATTAACATTTACATTGCATATGTTATGTCTTCAAAAACTAGTTTTGCCAACATTTGATGCAAATCGAAACTTAAAAAGATATTTAACTACAACGTTCACATTCAGAATTCAGTGTTGCTTATTTAAAAGAAAAGGTTCGCATAAAAATATCATACAGATTGTCATCACCGGGAGGATTATAAAAGTTTAATTCGGAAAAACATTTTTAATATGTTTCAACTAACTCGAAATATAACAAATTTAAAACTTTAATGCAGAAAAAGTGTCGGTTTATTATTGACAAAAATATCAATAGGAATCTTATTTGTCGACTGAAATGCTACAAATAGTTCGAGGAAATAAAACTAAGTGTAATTTTTAAAAATGATATTTTTTTCTGTTTCTAGTAGAGAAATTTGTGTCTTATAAATTTGTAATTCTTTACAAGTTCATGTGAAGTGTACACTTTCAAACTTCACACATATTTCCAATGGCTTTATGACGTCATAAGTTTGTATGAGAACATGAAAAATGTATTCATCCCTCAACACAATAATTATTGTATATGTAGAGGAAAAACAATAGACAATAAAAAGGACTTAATTAAATGAATGAGTCATTCTTAATTAGTATCAAATCTAATGTCCATCTGAACAAAATACAAATATAATAATGATGATGGATGGCTGCTTAACGTCAAGTGGCAAATTAATATGCATATTCAGGACGAAAACATGTTAATTTAATATGATTATTAACCTTGCTTTGTACTAAACCGACACACGGAGTCGGATTTTTAACGTGTTTGTTCACAAGGTAACAATCCGCAGGAAGACATGTCACCTTACTCGGACCCATTATTCTGACTCCGAGCCGACCAGTCCTTGCTCTTACTCATTAATGCTGTGTACTTAGTGAAGAGGCAGCAAATACCAATTTCAAAGTCTTTGGTTTGACCCGGCCGGGGTTGTAACCCACGACCTCCCGCCCTCGAGGTGGACACGCAACCGCGAGACCACCGAGGCTTTATAAATACAAATATAATACTGGTGAATAATTATGATTCTTGGATTGTGGATGTGGATTAGAATACCAAACACTGAAAATGTTACTCCCTCTTAGCATGCAAGTACACTACTAGTTTGCTGTTCTGTTCCAAAGCGAACCATCTGACATCACCCACGATATTGTGTAAGGTGACAATCAAAATCTCTTTGTATATACAACTTTTAAAACATTTCTAACTGACATGTTGCATAACGGATTTTTTTCATGAACATACTAATACTATTTTACATCTAAAATCATGAACCGTCCAATATCACTTTTACAGTGCTTTATGCAATTCTCAAGGTTTTTAAAAATAAGGAGGCGGGGCGCGATTGCAAATGATTAAATGACCACTAGAGATCAAATGTTATGGGCGTAAGCAACTAAACGTCTCAATGTGGCCTTCAACAATGATCAAAAAGTCAGAACGTAAACTGATAGTTAGCCAAACAGACTCTTTATGTCAATATGTTTTTAATGCAATCCCTTTTTATTTGATTAATGTAGCTTCTCCAAAAATCACAGGCTACAAGTATGATAGAAATTTGAATCTGGGGTTCTTAGTTAATGGTACTGATTTTCGATTCCAATGCATAGCCACAGGCATCCCAAAACCTAATATAACATGGACAAAAAAAGGAGATGAACAATTCCTGTCAGTGGTATGTGTGTATAGGTAGTATAAGTAACTGTCGCCATATATGTTAAAAGGCGTTGCTGACTGTTAATATGATTGTATGCATTCATTGCATATTATGTTTCAAGTACTAATTTACCTTTTTAGAAGTTTCATATTCAAATCGTTCATTCAATTCGAATATAAAATATAAAGTGCAAACATTTGGAATATTTACAATATTGGGCTAAATATAAGCAAAACGAATTAATAAATGGTTCTGTGACTACCTTCCGTAGTAAGAACAAAAATGAGAATAATTTTTAAATGAAGAAGATGGACATGGAGGCTGAAAATTTCATCGTAAGTACCAACGAGTAAAGCAATATGACTATAAGCCATGATAAGTTTTATCAAAGAATTTAAAACTACCACTAAACATTTATTAGATTATATAGTTTAGTATGTCACACGCTCGTTTTTTCCATAGTAACCATTAGCGACGCCCGAATAAAAACAATTTGATTGTATGCATTCATTGCGTATTATTTTTCAACTACTAATTAAGTTAAGTTTCTGAAAGAAAAAAAAAAAAAAAAAAACAGCAAAAGCCTTACGCCTTGGCTCTTATGTCAGTTGTATGTATTTTTAAAATTTTGTCTTGCCGTAATGAAATTCAAACTTAAGGTTATTTTCACTCTTTTATCATATGGTTTCATCTATTGGACAACACAATTGTCATAGATATAAATTGAACATAATAAAATTGAGAATGGAAATGGGGAATGTGTCAAAGAGACAACAACCCGACCATAGAACAGACAACAGCAGAAGGTCACTAACAGGTCTTCAATGCAGCGAGAAATTCCCGCACCCGGAGGCGTCCTTCAGCTGGCCTCTAAACAAATATATATACTAGTTCAGTGATAATGAACGCCATACTAAACTCCAAATTGTACACAAGAAACTAAAATTAAAAATAATACAAGACTAACAAAGGCTAGAGGCTCCCGACTTGGGACAGGCGCAAAAATGCGGCGGGGTTAAACATGTTTATGAGATCTCAATAAGTATGGCCAGTCAAAATGTTATTTGTCCAACGGATATAGTTGTGAATATAATTTGTTTTAAGATGAGAAAAATATTAAAAAGATCGTCAATTTATTAACAGTCCCATCTTGTTCCTAATTGGAAATACACGACCAATTTGTTTTATCCATAAACATATTACCGTTTAAAGAATGTTGATCCACTTTTCTTAGTAAAAGTGAGAATCGCTCTTTGTCAAAAACACAAATTGTCGATCAATTAATTAATTTTGTTGATACTTTAAGTCTATTGTTTAACTTCTCCGTTGCTTATCTGTTTTGACAGGGCCCCATGTTACATTTTCCATCAATAACCAAAGCTGAAGATGGAAAGTATTTTTGTACAGCTGATAATGGCGTAGGAAGAGCAATAGATATCGGAACATTTATAGAAGTCAACAGATACAAACCGACGATGAAATATGATTCTATTCCTATTAGGACAGTTACAGAATATGAAATAAACGAGTATTGGGTAGATGGAAAAATGAAAGTCTTAGTTCAAGGTAAGCTTACATAACCACGACTAGTCTCTCTGAAGTAATATGAAAAGGGTTGAATCTCTTTTTGTGTGCACTATATCGATACCAATATTCTATAAGCGAAATGTTTTTTATAGGTCATAAATGTCAAACTACCCTTTTTCATTGAGTCAAATGACATCACTTTTAATAGACAAACTTTGTCTCATATTTGATCATTTACCTGGATTAATTGATAATACATACTTATTATAAAAGATAAGTTATGTACTAGAGTGAGACAATTATAGGTTTCATAACAAGTAAGAATTAAATATAGCTTGATTTCAACTCGAGTTATTCAATTTCAATATAATAATAAACAAGCCTTCGGCGATTTTATTATTACTATCTAAATTTATTAACGAAAGTTAATAGCAAGCGATATCCAATTCTCACGAGTTGTTAAACCTATTTCTTTTATGATCAACACTCAAATTGTCTTAAATGAAATATTCCGTGAATCGTTGATCTAGTCTTTTGCACATACCAGAATGACGTCATATGTTCTTTTCCGGAGTCAAACGTTAACATCAGACATCTTAAGGAGACTCGAGGCTATAAACACTTTATATAAGAAATTCCCGAAAACTTGGTATCTTATCCCTTTAAGTGAGTGGATCTAAATAATAAAAAAAATTAAGGGGTCACCGTTCATTTAAGCGTTTTATAGGCCACTAAAATAAGGAGGGTTTTTTGCCGTTTTACAAAAGAATAATAGGGAAAATTGTGTGTTGACATTCTTAGATTTTAATATCGGATATAATTTATATAAGATTTTGTTTAAATTTGTTTTACAACAAGCACAAGTATAGTTTTACATGTTCAGCTAAAAAAATATATAGGTCACCGTTAGTTTAAGAAAGATATTTCACATTCTTAATCCAATTATCCATTTTTGGCGGGAAAAGACTAATAGGGAAAATATCAACGGCATTACCTTCATCCTAAAAAAAATGAGAGAACTAAATTACAGATTTCCATTAAACTTTTTATTATTAGAGAATTATAAGTAAAGTTCAGAAAAAGCAAAAAAAAAAAAAAAAAAAAAAATAGGGGGTCACCAATCTTTTAAGAGAGATAAATCCCTTAAAGGGTAAAACCATGGCAACAACAAAAAATGGCTATTTTTGATAAAATTCAACTTTTTCTGCCGTTTTTAGCTAAAATTATATGAAATGAAAACCTAATTTTGGTTTACAATACCCCATAGTGATATGCATGCCCACAATGAATTTTATGTCACATGGTCAAATCGTAAGGTCAAAGGTCAATGTCATGGCATTCATAAATTAATGTTAATTCATAAATGTTGAAGTGTTTTCTATAAGATCATTTGATTAATAAATCAAAGTTTACAGATATACTTTAATACATAATTTAAACAAGAAGTGGAAGGTGGAACTAAATGATATATAATTCAATTGTAAAAGTCACAATTGTTAAAATAGTTAAACTTGGAGTGAAGGGAACAATCTAGATCATTTTAAATACCAAATATTTAGAAGGAAAAGTACCAAACTTTTATAGATTATGACCTACTGGGAAAATTGCTTCTTATTTGACCTAATGTCAATAGGACATACAAACTAAAAAGATGTACTCAGTGGCGGATCCAGAAATTTGCATAAGGGGAAGGGGGCCCACTGACTGCCTAAGAGGGGGCCCGCTCTAGTTATGCTTCAGTGATTCCCTATATAATCAACCAAATTTTTCCCCCAAAAAAGAAGGCCCGGACACCCACCACCCCCACCCCCCTCGAAATCCGCATCTGGTACTAGTTTACTATATGATTAGATAGATAAACAAAATTAATTTCCCCTCTATTCCTCCAAGTCTGATATGGGGAAACCTCAAACATAAATTCCATCAAAAAATAAAAGAGGTGCATAATGGCATTTGGAATTATGATTCTCTGCAAACTTCATGACTTATGTTACACTTTCTTGGTTTTTGTGAAAAAGTTAAAGGTTTAGATTAATATGTTGTATGTGCCTGTCCAAAGTCAGCAGCCTGTAATTCAGTGGTTTTCATTTGTTGTTGTCACACTTTTTTTGTGTTATTTTACATAAATCAGGCTGTTAGTTTTCTTTTTTGAATTGCTTTACATTTGTCATTTCGTTTTATAGCTTGCTATGCGGTATGCGGTATGGAGTTGGCTCATTATTGAAGGCCATAGGGTGACCTATAGTTGTTAACTTCTATGTCTTTTAGTCTCTGATGGAAAGTTTTCTCAGTGGCAATCATGCCGCGTCTCATTGGCAATCAAATCCCATCTTTTTATATATATTTGACATTTTAGACATATAGCTGACGAAAAATAACATACAGGACAGCTTCTATGTTTAATGTATAATGAATTATTAGAGGAGCCATTTATATCTAAGTTTAACAAACAAATTCTTCTTTCATTTCATAGGAGTACTTGTTTATGTATAAAAATTAATACATGAGATAGTTGAACATGATACACCAGCCATTTAACCCTTTTATGATTTTGAAATTACATACATAAAAAATGTCAGGTTGAATAGTGTTTAAGATTTGTATTAACTAGAAAATGTTTCTATAAGGCACAGGATGTCCCGCCAATAAATGTAGGTCACAGTAATCAAATTTTTGATGAGCTGTGATGTGCTGTAGTGGTGATATATCACTATAGATTTCTGTGAAATCAACCTAAACGCAAGACTTAACCAAAGACACTAAAGCATGAAATGTAGGTCATAGTGACTCAAGTAATGTGTTATACTACTAGTATACAAGATATCTGTGGTGAATAAAAATCACTGATATATTAACATACGTTTCTGAGAAATGGGGCTATATGTAAATGCAAAACTTAACTGGATAGGGATGTACATACTTATGGACGGACAAGGGTATATCTATACAATCCATCCCCATTTGTGGCAGGCATATTAAATCCAATCTTGGTATCTACTTTAAATATAAATAACAACATGCAGTATACTGGTGACAAAAGAATTCATTTATGGTTATATTTAAGTTACCATACTTAACTGATCCAGATTACATAAATTCCAAAAACAATTAACCCATTTAGAAATGTTGAAAAGCATGGTTTGATTAGCAGCAGGCCAACTTTACAGAATTATTCCATTGATATAACCTTATAACCTTATGACTGTTCATAGTGCGCACGTTTTTTGTATTCAGTTCTGCAAATCATGTTATGCAAATAAATGTCACTCCCCTCTCCCTCGTACAAGAATTTTAAGTGTACACATGTTTTTATGCCAAAACAGTGTTTTTGAGATTTATAAAGTTTTCAACAGTAAATTAAGTTGATTAGTGTCCCTGTGTCATTTACTATACTACCTTTATTTTCTTTGGTAGGATAGTAAGTTCTGTATTCATTTTTATGTGGAAATATGTGTTATGGCCTATATTGACCAAAATATAATTTTTAATCATACATGGCCAAGACCATATTATACTCATGTGGTATGATATTTGTAACTTTTTTTTTCATTCAAGGTACATTAAATATATTTGGAAGAATTATTTAAACAAAAAAACCTTAAAATTTTTAAATTGGTAGAAAAAAATACATTTTTACGTAAGCCACCTTCATCTGAAAATCTCTTTTTTTCAGGCACAGGCTCATATTAATTTAGTTAATTAGTTTTAAATAGTTATAATAAAATTTGAATCTTTGATACATTGAATGATTCTTTAATTGCTTTAAATACACGCTACATTATATATTAGGGCATTTAAAAAGCAAATGTTTGCAAAATTTAATTTTTAAAATCACAAATCTTGATAGTTGAAATTGTTAAATTAAATGTAAAACATAAACACCCAAAGTTAAATGATTAAAATAGACATATTGTCTATAATGAAGACTGTATTGTCATGAAATTGTGTCGACTCTTCTATATTTCCCTAATCTAAGGTCATGCCAAGATTAAAAAAAAGATGTCTATTCCATTTGAAAACACAATTATTTCTTAGCATAGGTGGATTTAGGGGGGAGGTAAATATATGGTTAATGCATAGCCTTTTTATATGTCTCACTCCAAACGTTGCCTAGTTTAGGGGCCCTGGGCCCCCCTTTTTCAAAATCCTGGTTCCACATCTGTGTAGTGCATTTCTTTAAGACAATAAATAAAAATTAAAAAAAAAGAAATCACACTTGCATTTTTCTAAAAAAATTTACAGTGTTATGTACTACTTTTAGGAAAAATTAGATCAAAACTATATAAAAGTCTACCACTTCTAACTACAAATATGGACACTATTATGTTAAGGGGGTCTGTCATTCAGTTTGACAGCTCCGTACATACATGTACTAATTTTTGCCTTGTTCAACTAACCCAAATCACTACTTTACCTAAAAAATCATGGTCCTTATTGTTTTACATAAACATAAGGAGATGTGGTATGATTGCCAATGAGACAACTATCAACCAAAAGTCAAATGAAGTGGATGTTAACAATTATAGGCAACCGTACGGCATCAACAATGAGAAAAACCCATACCGTATGGTCGGCTTTAAAAGGCCCCGACATGAAAAATACGAAACAATTCAATTGAGAAAACTAATGTACTTTTATTCTTCTAATTACTAGTTTATGCATAAATATAGAGAAAATAATGAGGAAAGTGTATGAAAACAAGTTGTAAGTAAGACATTGTCCACACTAGGGACTATATTTGTAAATCAAAGGATGATAACTGTGTAGAGGACCAAATGTCATCCATTTCAGTTAACATGTCAATAATGAAACATTGAAAAAACAGGTATCTTTCTTAAATCATGTTAATACAGAGAATTTGGACCCGCGAGCCGAGCCCTCTTTAATATTTTTCAACGCTTCAGAATGTAATAAAATTTAATAAAAAGAAGATTTCCACGAACAAATAGTGTGTTTTGTATTTTATTAAAGACATCACATATGTCCGTTGCCATGGACGAAATGTACATCGCCTTAACCTTTGAAAATTAACAATGACC